CAGACAGGGGCTCCTGATGAACCCAGAGCTCACCCATTCAGCCAGAGTAGCTCCCCAGCAAATCCCAGGGATCATCCTGTCTCTGCCTTCTCAGCACAGGGATTACCGGAACGCACTGCCATAGTCGGCTTTTTAAGATGGGTTCTAGGGGATCAAACTCAGCTTATGCGGCAGGCACGTTGCCAGCTGAGCCATCTCCCTGGCTCCATTCATTCACGTGCTGTCTCCCAGCCCTGTGCTGGGGCCTAAAGACATGACGTGAACTCACACGGCCCTTCGCTTTCCGTAGGTGATGGGGGAGACGGAACTGAGCACTGACAATGAAGCAGAGGCTGCTGGGAGATGAAACGAAGGTGAAGAAGGGTGATGTTCCAGCCCCAGTGAAGCCTCCCTGTCCCTGGCTGTCCACCTGCGGCCCTCTGTGCACACCTCTGTCCACCTGCGGACCTCTGTGTACGCCGCTCCTCTGCCCAGAGGGCACCCTTGCCTGCCTGTGTCTGCTGTCTGCCTCTGAGGCCACCTTCGCCAGCGCCTTCTTCACTCAGACCTGTGGCTCTTCAGCTTTGACCACGACACTGCTCAGATGGAGACGTCTAACCAACGCACAGCCAGTGCCCGGTCTCCCCTGAGGCCTCGTGCTTCTGACCCTAAATCCATAACCGACTGCTGTGTGACCGCAAGCCCGTGACGTCACTTCTCCAGTCTCCGCAGCCCCCTTCTCAAGGCCTCTGAGAGATCCAAAGGGGAGGACACCTGTGAAGCAAACTTTCGTCAGTCGCAAACTTCCAGGCCTTGCACATTTGCCAGTTAGAGGGGCTCTTGTTCAAACAGCCTCCTTCTGCATCCTGGAGGCCAACCAAAAGGTACACAGGCCCCACGGGCTCAGGGGTGGGCCAGTTTCTGTTTGGGGTTTGTTTGTGTTTGACTTCATAGGCAGGGAAACTCCCTGGGCCAGGTGAGGTGGGCGGAGCCTAGTCAACAGTTGCCAGGGGAATCCCAAGGGCTGGGGGGCCTGATCACCCCCCACAGTGCTCAGGTGCACATTCACTCCCAGCAAGGAGAAAGTAGACATTGCCTCAAGGACAGGGTGACTCTGGCAGCCAGGTGACCTGAGTAAGAGCCCAGCGCCTCCTGGCAACCGCTGTAAGCCTGGGTCCACGGTCTATGACTTAGGGGTCCCTATGTCTCAGGGGTTGTCACATGGAGATCAAGGGCTGGCAGGAGCACCCCAGGTCTCTTAGGGAAGTCTCCCTCCGGCCAATCCCTGCCCCATGAGCCTTTCTGGCATCAGTGCCTCTGTTCTCTCCTGTCCTACACTGAGCCACCAGCAAAACTTGGAGTTCCAGAACTTTCCGGTCTCCCGCCTCCAGTCTCTTACACATCCTACCTAGGATACCTTTCCTTCCTCCTCTCTCCCAGGATCCCGCATACGCATCCCCTCCTCTTGGGGTCACATTGCTTATTTTCTTTGTGGCACTGCTATAGGTAGGTCCCCCCAAAGCACTTACACGTGTCACTGCCTACTGAATCTCCTCTGGGTCCGGGGCCTGGCCCACCCCAAGCAGGAGTAATATCACTGACGTAGCCTTCAGTGAGTGGGAGATGGCAGTGAGGAGATTCCAATGGAGCCCCCATTAGAATGCCGACTTGAGCCGGTTGTGGTGGCACGCGCCGGTAGGATTTGCTGAAGAAGGCAGAGGCAGGAGGATCACGAGTTCCAGGCCAGCCTGGGCTACACATTTTAACCCATACCCACAGTTTCTGCTTCTGAATGAATGTGTGAGAATTCGCAAGCAACATTTCTTTTGAGTCAGGGTTTCTCTATGTAGTCCTGGTTGTCCCAGAATTTTCTATGTTGACCAAACTGGTCTCAAACTCAAACAGAACCGCCTGACTCTGCCTTCTGTGTGCAGGAATTAAAGGCTTGCACCACCACGTATGGAAGAAACAACTTTGTATTTCAATCACTTTATAATTTTTCTCTGCTTGATTTTTGGTATTTCAGCATTCCTTCTTTTTTGTTTTTTTGTTTTTTTGTTTTTGTTTTTCGAGACAGGGTTTCTTTGTGGCTTTGGAGGCTGTCCTGGAACTCGCTCTGTAGACCAGGCTGGCCTCGAACTCACAGAGATCCACCTGCCTCTGCCTCCCGAGTGCTGGGATTAAAGGCGTGCGCCACCAACGCCCGGCTTCAGCATTCCTTCTTACTCTTTATTTCAAATATATCTTGGCTTTATATGAGATTAAATATGATAAATCTAAAAAAAAAAAAAGAATGCCGACTTGAGTCCCTGCCCCATCCTCCCTTCCATGATCAGCCCGGTGGTCTCCATTAACCCCATGATCAACCGGGTGGTCTCCATTAACCCCATGATCAACCGGGTGGTCTCCATTGACCTTATAAATCTCATAGCATGGTGGCTATGAGGACTCAGGGGTAAACTGCTTGTGTGTCCCAGTGTAGAACCAGCAGGACATCTCCAGGGCTGTCAGCAGTCCGACTCAGGGATTTTGCTGATGCACTCTGGGAAGCTGTGGCCAGGGACACAGGGACACGGTGGGGAAGTGTGCTGGGAAGATAGAGCCACTACCCCCAGACCCGGGGAGGAAGCCTGCTGGGGTGTTTTCCAGGAGGGAGGCCCACGAGCATCACAGGCTGAGGAAAGGGCACGGGTGACCTGGCAGGCCCAGGTATTCGGGTGGCCTGCATGGGAACCAGGCAGCCCAGAGCACCCTGAGTTCTTGGAAACAGCCTTGAGCTCTGACAAGTGACCAGGGACATTTGTTAAGGCTCCCCTAGAAGCTTGGGAGCCAGATCCATCCCTCAGCCTCTGAGTGGGTCTGTAAAAGACAGGGCAACACTACAGTCTGCACAGAGCGCTGTGCCAAGACAAAGCTTTCAAGTCTGAGCAAGGCTTAATGTGGCTTGGACACAAAATGTGCATGAGGGAGGCCGAGATACTCCCCTGCTTCTGATGTGGGCGAGCCCCTACCTCTCTGGCCCATAGTCCCTCTGCAGCGAGGCTTAACCAGTTAATATATGCAAAGTGCCTAAGCTGGGCATGGTGGTTCACACATTAAATGCCAGCACTCGGGAGGCAGAGACAGGCAGATCTCTGAGTTCAAGGCCAGCCTGGTCTATATTCCAAGCTCCAGGTCAGGGAAGGCTACATAGGGAAACCCTGTCTCAAAGAAAAAGTAAACCAGGGAGATGTGCGGAAGGCCCCTGGGTCTCAGTGCTCACCTTCACCTGTGGGAGCTGTTACCTGTGACCCGAAGCAAGTTACTCAACTTAGTGTCTTGTTTTCTCACTGGAGAAATGGAACGCCACAGTGTTCAGTTCACCTCACAGTGTTATCAAGAAGAGTAAATAAACTGTACTAATGTGTAGAGAACCCTTCAAGTCCGAGAGTGCCAGGCATGAAGTGTGTGTGAGTTACAGCCCGGATTCACTGTCCCTTCGGCTTCCTCCCTTGCTGAGGTCTGGGCTCTGCTGACTGGCTTACCACCTGGATGTTTCTACCCGTTTTTAATCTCTCTCTCTCTCTCTCTCTCTCTCTCTCTCTCTCTCTCTCTCTCTCTCTCTCTCTCTCTCTCTCTCTGTGTGTGTGTGTGTGTGTGTGTGTGTGTGTGCTCACGCGCATACGGGCATGCATGCACATGTCACAGTACAGGTGTGGAAGTCAGAGGCCCACTCTTGGGAGGTGGTTCTTTTCTTCCACCCTGTGTGTTCTGGAGATGAAATTGGTCGTTGTCAGATTGGGTAGCATTGATCCATCTCATCGGCCTTTTCTCACTAACCCACCACCTTCCTGGCCCTATCTGGATTTGTTTTTAAAGAAAGAATAGGAATAGCTATTGGTTAGAAAATTAAAACGAGTAAGTGAAAGGAAAAGTATCTAGGAACCTGTCTGCTGTGCAGCTTATTTCAGCAAATGTCCCTGCTATTGTTTGCAACTCTCAGATGTGGAAGTGGAGGCTGGGAGAGCTTCCTCAGATACTGAGCCACAGACCAGTTACGGGGCCACCTCCTAATGCTTGCCTCTTCTGGCCTAGATCCCTGTGACTGGATCCTTGTGCCCAGCCAGCCCGGCCCAGTTCCTGGGGGTGCTAGAAAGGGCCTCTTGGGGGTGGATGGATAAACCAAGGTAAGTCACATGGTGACTGAAGCAGCTTGTGGGAGGCTCAGATCTCTGGGACAACTGATTTACTCAAAAGAAGCATGTGTGGGGGCCACCCAATGGAGAACATCCAACATGGTGGTTGTGTTATTCGTCTTGGTCCATAGTCACCTTCTTTGGAAGCCCATGACCCAGGGAGCATTTCTTCCAGCTTCCTTTGCCCTTTTGACATCACTGAGTATACCTCTGAGGCTCTTCACCCAGCCCTCTTCCCAGCTCCCCGACACATTGATCTCAAGCTTCCTCGCATTGGCATGTGCTGTTCCCTCTCCTGTGCCTGAGGGTCTCTCCTCGAAGCCCAAGTCCTCCCTCTGAACGCCTTGAGCACTTAGGCAAGTTGAATCTGCTCACTTGGATTGTCCTTGTCCCTGAGGTGAGAGGACAATCCTTGTATATTTCTGTGTGGTCTCCTCATGTGACCCTCAGTGCCCAGGCTACTCTGTGTCCTCTGCTTAATTCACTTCCTCCTTCAAGGGTTCTTCACTCTCCATCTTCTCTTCAAGGTCCCAGCTAGTCTGCCCCTTTCTCCCCAGTTCTGCTTGGCCACCCTAGACTCATCTCAAGGGCAAGACTCACATTGGCCTGTGTGCTGCTGTACGCAGCCTCTCACAGATAGTGGAGTCTCGGACCAAGTGCATGCTCGATAGGTTGCCGAATGAACCATGCTGTAATGGGGGCTTCCATCTTCTTAACAGGATCCCAGTGGTCAGCAGCATGAGCTTGGAGATCCTGGTTATTGTGCAAGAACTCCTTGAGTGATCGTTATGCAGTATAAAGGTGAGCAGGGACAAAGAGTAGACTATAAATGCATTGTTTGTTTATTTTTCATTAACAAGATTATTCCACTTCTTGCTACCAAGTAGAGCTCTGGAGAAGGGAGAAGGGTGTGCTAATTTCCATAATAATCCTAGAGGTCCCCACAGGGAAGGACAGGAAGTCACCTTTAATCTGATGGAAACATAGAAACATCTTGTGGGTGGACTGGAGCAGTTCTGGGGAAGTGGAGCAGCTGAGTGACTGGAGCAGCTGAGTGACTGGAGTAGCTGAGAGACTGGAGCAGCTGAGAGACTGGAGCAGCTGAGTGACTGGAGCAGCTGAGTGATTGGAGCAGCTGAGTGACTGGAGCAGCTGAGAGACTGGAACTCTAAGGGACTAGAGTAGGAAAAGGTACAGAGGGCTCCAGAGAGAGCTCACCAGATGAGTGAGGAAAAGCTGCTGTCATGAACATCAGAGCCAGGATGGAGACACGTGGGACTTCAGTGGCCAAAGAGCCCAAGACATTCAAGTAAAAGTCCCAACATAAAAGCAACACCCCCTCATCTAGAGCTTCCCCTCAGGGCATGCTGCCCAGCCTACCTGGTGTCTATAGGAACCGGACCCAGGAGGCATTTCCACCTCTATGGGCAAGCATCCACTAGGATGCACAGACCGGTCTTCACACATGGTGTGGCAGGGGCTGAAACAGCAGTACTAGCCGGAGCCTCTGCTCTCTTCCCGGTTCCTAGAGGCTGAGTTGGAGTTCCTTAGATAGAGTCATCTCACAAGTCGATTCAGGAGGATGAAGCCCTGAACCGATACTGGACACCCTGCTAATGAAGGCCTGTCTGAGAAACCGAGAGCTGCTCGTTTGTACCCTGAGTCGGTGAAGAACAGAATGAGTCTGTTGTAGTCACACTGCCACTAGTGGCACCAACTATCCAAGCTCACAAGAAACACGTATGGGAGCATGCTTTCCTGTAGCAGAATATACCCTCAAAATTAATAACATAACAGCAGTTGTGACAGTCTCCAGAGCCCTTGCCCACACAGACTTTTCTCAGAGCCCTGTGATGATCAGGGCAGAGCAGTGACCCATAGGAAACAGGGGCTCAAAGAGGAACGTGATGTGCCCATGGTCACGAACATGTCCACAGCCTTCCCCCTCTCCCGTCCTGCCCTGCTGTAGGTCCCCAAGCTGCTCTCTTCCTGCTTACAGCAGCATCAGGACCACAATGGCAATGATCATAAGGACTCCAGCCAGGATGCAAAGGCCCAGGAAGACGATGTCACTGGTGTCCTGGGCCACCGCAGTCCCTGAGCCCTCCAGGACCTCTGCCCCATCCCCGGATGGCGCTTCCTGCAGATGCTCAGCAGTGGCAGCATAGGGCCCGAGCCAGTGAGAACCTGACAGCAAGTGGGCGGACGCCTCCTTGCGCCTGGGCTCACAGCGCACCTCGTACTCATGGATGTCCTCATGCCCGGCGTCAGAGAAGTCGATGTACAGCACGCTGACAATCATGGAGGTGTTGTTTCTTCTCTGTGGGGTCACAGGTACCTGTTCACTCCCAAGGAGGCTCCAGCACTCCTGGCTCCTCTAACTAGACATAGGCCTGAGCCCATTGCTTAGACACAGATTCCTCGACACTCAGCCTCAGAGTCCTCGTCTATCAAAGGGGCAGATGGGCCAGCAAGTTGGCTCAGCAGATAAAGGAACTTGCTACTAAGCCTGAAAACCTGAATTCAACCTCTGAAACCCAAATAGTGGAAGGAGAAAACTAACTCCCATAAGCTGTCCTCTGAGTAACACACACACACACACACACAATTTAAAATACTTATGAAGGGGGCACTGTAAGAGTGGACTGTTTTGAAGGGCATCAGACTGGATGGACCAATGTTTGCTCAGGTTTCAAGGGGCTGAAAGAGGATAAGAGACCATAACAGAGAACACCTAGGCTGGAAGATGTAGCTTACTTGACTAGTGTGTGTGAGGTTCCAGGTTCAATCCCCAGGACCAGCAAAAACAAAAGCCAACAAACAATAAAAAAAAAAAACCTAAAACCAGCAACCATGGAGTTGAGAGTGCACTGGCAATATTTAAGCCAGGTGTGGTGGCACATGTCTGTAATCCCAGCATTTCAGAAGAAGAGGAGAACCCAGAGTTCACAGTCATTTCTAATTATATAGTAAGCCAACCTAGACTACCTGAAACCCTGTTTCAAAAGCAAAGCAAAGCAAAACAACAGCAGCAAACTATCTAAAATCGGGGGCCATTTAGGATCCAGTTAAGTATATCAATTCATTTAATTCTCACAATAATCTTCTTGGAGTCATTAATATTCCCATTTCACAGATAAGGAAACTGGGGCTTAGAGGTTAAATCTGTTGTCTGAGGCCACACAGCACACAAGCAACCCTGATCTGCCCAACTCTTACCTAGGATATCAGTCACAACACTTAACTCAAGCCAAAGAGTAGCTGGTCAGTTAGCAAGTCCCTGCCTCTCTCTGTCAGCTATGTCCCTACTGTGTGACCTTCCTTGGAAGTCTTTCTCCAAGTGATGTATAAAGCAGGGGTCCTTACTGTTGAGGCACTGTCTGCTCTAGGTCTGTGAAGAGCCCCTGGAAAACATGGTGTGAGGGGCCTGGCACCCTGCAGCTCTTCACATGAGGGATGAACGAATCAGAGGTCAGGTTGCCCTCAGCGGGTTGGGCATTATAGACAGCGCTGAGAAGCCAGTTTTTATAGGGCGTGCAGTGACCCGAGGCTGCTTGCCACACATATGCCCACTCCATAGCAGACACTATATTCCTCCGGCTGTCCAGACTGCCTCCCCAGGGCTGACACTTCCGGGATTGGTGTCTGAAACATGAAACTGCCTAAACTGAGGGAATAAACAGGTGCCAGTAGTTGGGACTGAGTGCCGCCCTTGGGAAGATCTGAAGGAGTGTCATGCCACTTTCACAGACAAGGGGACATTAGGTCTCCTCCAAGCTTGGGCTTCTGAAAGGCCCTGGCTCCCATGTCCCCAAGTAAGCGCCTGCACCTGTGCACTGGGCCGGCCTGCTCCCCACTCTCTGAGGGGAGCTTGTAGCCTTGCTTTCTGACACACAGATGTGAGCAGGGGCTGAGTGGAGGAGGACCAAAGATAGGGTGGTCGTCTGTGTAACGAGGAATGGAGGAAAGCATGTGTTAGAGGCGGGAGGCGTGGGGGATTGGAGAGGAGGGAAAGCCCAGGAGACCGGAAGGCTGAGAATTAGGAGGTTAGACCCAGTGTTTCCAGAGAGGCACAGAAAGACTGGCCTTGATGCTACTTGGCTCTTGGTCACTCACGCCTCGGTAACAGCAGCTCCTTGCAGGGGCTGGGCCTTGAGGCTGAAGATTTGCAAGGCTTGCATTAAAGTACTCTGTCTTTACCTTCCAAGAAATTGATTCTATGGTCTCTGGCCCTGAGTTTTGGGGCACGGAGGAGTTCTGAAACTGAGTATTCATGAGTCCTTGGCTCTAGGACTTCATGATTTAATTTCTGAGATTCTTTGTTTGAAGGTAAAGATGGGCGTGTGTGTGAGCATGTACACATATGTGTGTTTGTGTGTTTGGAGGCCCCAGGATAACTCTAGATACACTCCCTGAGGGCCACCCACCTTGTTTTCTCAAACAATGTCTCTCCCTGGGATCTGGGGATTAAGGCTAGATTGACTGACCAGTGAGCTCCACAGATAAGCCTGCCTTTACCTCCCCAGTACACACCACCATACCTAGCTTATATGCTCTGGTCGGCTTGGCCTGGCCTAGAACTCGCTATGTAGACCAAGCTGACTTCAGAATCAGAGATCCACCTGCCTCCAACTCCAAAGTACTGGGGTTAAAGGTGTATGCCAGGCTGGAAAGATGGCTCAGTGGTTAAGAGCATGTTCTTCTGGAGGTCCTGAGTTCAATTCCCAGCTAGCACATGGCAACTCACAACCATCTGTAATGAGCTCTGGTGCCCTCTTCTGGCATTCATACAGAGCACTCATACATTAAAAAAATGTATACAAATAAATAAAAGTGTGTGTGTGTGCGTGTGTGTGTGTGTGTGTGACCACACTCATCTGTTTTTGTTGCTTGTTTGTTTGTTATTTCATAAACATGGGGATGGAGCTCATGTCCTCACGCTTACATTGGCTGGCACATTACTGACTGAGCCATCTCCCCAACCTTCTGGAACTCTCTCCTTCATTCCACGACACTGAGTGTGGTTCTGTCAAGAAAGTCACTAGGGGCCTCCGGGTATGAAGCAGATGTGAGTACCGACTATCTTGGCAGCCAGATGGCCCTCAGCTTCCTTCTAGTGTTTAAAGGACAGTGGCTGCCGGGAAGCTAGGACTGCAGGGGCCAGAAGCAAGTAGCAGGGCACAGGCATCTGGTCAACCAGACAGCAAACCTCCAGGGCAGCTCACCATTCCTTCCCTCCGCAGTCCCCTCATACAACCTCCTAAGGACACAATTCAGGGACTCTCTCAGGCCCCTCCCATCTGCACACCCACCCTGGCCTAGGTTCACAGCCTCCCGCATCTAAGGCTAGTGGAAAATCTCATTTGTAAGCACAGTCTTTGGAGGGAGGTGGATCCTGACTTGAAAGGCTCATTTGTTTGTGGGGCTCGGAGCTGTATGGGGTCACCAGGTTGTGGAGGATGAGCAGGAAGGGGTGGGGCATGGGCTGTGTATATTAAAGGATCAGGATTTCCTTTCTCCTGGGGAGCTCTCAGACAAAGGGAGGAGCAGGGAGGACATTTAGGGTTGTTCACCTCTGGGGTCTTTCGAAAGGGTGCCAGTAAGTCTGCATGCAGACCTGAGTGCACGACCAAAGCCAGGAGAGAAACTGAGGGCAGCAGGTGCTCTTCAGTAAGGCTCAGAGCCCACCTCTCAGACCTCCCCTCCCCTCCCTACCTGAGACTCGGTACCGCAGGTGTCAAAGCGGGCCTGGATCCGGAAGTTGCTACCAACTTCCTGGGCAGCACAGCTCCGGCTGCCCAGGTAGACCTTGGTCCGCTCCAGTGGGGCCAGTGCCTGGGCAGAGATCAGGATCTGGAAGTCCGTGCGGGAACAGCTCACATTCATGGGTACCACTGGAACAAGGAGGAAGGAGCCTGAGACCTCAGGCTGCGTCAGACCCATCATGCCTGAGCCTTCCTGAGGGACAGCAGACGTGGAACAAAGGTGCTCGTGACATCCTACAGGACTGAGCTGGGATATGCACGCACATTGCTCCATTGTGCCACGTTCTTAGGACACTGGTGTGCCTGTGCCTCTGCGTCCCCTGAGGCCGGCATAGTGCTCGGCAGGCCAAGGCAATGCTAAATGAATGAATGAATGGATGAGCATGCAAGGGGGTGGAGGCTAATTCTTCCCCACATTAAAAGTGATTGCTCATCACAGCCAGATGCCCAGCAGTCCATCCCATCGTTCAGTTAATACATTACTGATGGCCTGATCTGTGCACACACAGATACGGACATGAAAACGGCAGCCACGCCATTGCTTATGCAGGACAATGAATGCGTGAAACGCACGGGAGTGCTACAAAGGACCATCAAGCAAAGACAGAAGAAGCAGGTAGCTCTGAAGAAGGCTGGAGGGGGTGACACCCTGTTGTCCCTACCCCGCGATGGCCCGAGAAGGTGGGCATAACCCCAAGCCACTTCGGTGTTGTGTGTTGTGTGTTGTGGCTGAGTTGGGATTTCAGACTTGGGGGACAGGATTCCCTAGTTATCAGTCTGTCCTTTACTATCTGTCAGCTCCCAGCATGCTCTGTGCTGGCAAGAATGCGATTCTCAGTGTCTGGAACTTCAGGGACAAGAGTGCTTGCAGGGGTGTGTGCAAGGAAGAGGCAGGTGGGGGTCGGTGGCTAGCTGGAAGAAAAAGGAGACCTGGCAGGCAGAGGCCTGGATCCTTCTCCGGGAAATGTCTCAAACATATTTCAACCTCGGGTGTCTGGGCAGGCGGGGATTTATGGGTCCGCTGTCTCCCACGATGATCTCGGTGGCGCTGAACTGTGTGTCACCCCTGATTGATGCCGAGGCTGCCCTCCCTGCGGAGAGGCTGCCTACAGCCTGGGCCCCATCTGGTGCTGGTCCAGTGTGAGTACCCTGTCTGACCCTAGGCTCCCACAGGGACCGGTGTGGGGAGCACAGAAGGCCCTGGAACAGGAACCAGGATGACAGCCACCCCGCCCTCCTCCCCGGAGATGCTGCAAGAAGAGGCAGTCATGATCACTTATCCTTGCCCAAACTGGGCCTGAGAGTCAGGTTCTCAGGGGCAAGCTGGACCCTGAAGACCCTTCAATGCGGTCCCTGCTGTACAGGTGGGAAAACCAGGATCTGGAGACCAAAAAAAGGGGTGCTCCAAGTCACTGGACAGAACCTAGGTGGTGCACGGTCTCACAGTATTCTCCTTGTCCATGAAGAATCAAAGGAGTCACAACTGTCCTTCCCACGGGGATGGGGCCCTGTGTAGGTCCAGAAGAGTGGCTTTGTGCAAGTCACTACAGGCCACCAGCCTACAACAGCTGTTCCCTGCTCCGCTGCCATCCGTCCCCCAACCCCTTCTGCTGTTGGGGGTGAGAAAAAAGGACCCTTTCACTGCTGAGGGGCATGTGAGGGAAAGATGTCCTCAGAGCCAGGCATACCCTGTAGCCCTCACTTGTCACCTGACCCAGGAACTCACCTGTCTTGTACAACTAAGTCCACGTTACAAAGGTTAGAAAAGATAGACACCTCGATAGCAGCTTGCTCAGTTACCTCTGCTGCAAAAGCATGGCCCCGCATCTGATTTGAAAACAAAATGACCTAAGACAAAGCATTGAGAGAGCTTTGAAAATGCTTTGGCAAGCCAGGCAGCGGTGGTGGGCACCTTAACCCCAGCACTTGGGAGGCAGAGGCAGGCAAATCTCTGAGCTTGAGGCCAGCCTGGTCTATGGAACGAATTCCAGGACAGCCAAGGCTATACAGAGAAATCTTGTCTTGAAACCTTTACCCCTCCCCATCAAGTGCCTTGGCTTTCTGGATAATGGGATTTTCCTGGTTGGCACCTCTCCTCTTCCAGCTGTGAAGATAGACATGATGCCTGAGTTTTGCTGTAGTCATGTTGCAAACACAAGTGTGACAATCTCAGAGGTACCATTAGGAAATTCCGAGTCCCTGGGCCCATGCAATAGTTGACTGGCTGGCACACTGCTGGGTGAGGACACACACGCGCCCTTTGTCTAGTCAGCAGTTCTGAATGACGCAGGCAGGGCTGGCATCGCTGTGTTTGACCTAGTGCTTGCCATTGATAACTCGACATATTTTGTGTACTAATCCCGGAAACTGGATCAAACATCTGAGAGACATCTAACCCACAGGAAAAGGAGCCTAGTGGGGGAAGAGTTAGGAATCATAGAGTCAGAAGCCATGAAAAGAGGGTCCTGTGGCAGAGGAAATAAGTGAGGGCCGCACCAGAGTGGCCTCCCTCAAGGGTCCTCAGAGTAGGCAACTGAGCAGGGCCTGGGGGACACCATAGAGGGGCTCGTCACAGTGCACACACAGGAAGGAGGCCGCAGAGTTCCCCAGTCCCCGCACTCCCAACTCAGCTGACCTCCAATGTAGGCCACAGAGAAGCCCCTGCCAGAGGTGCTGCGGTCCGTGTGCAGCAGAAGCAGGAGCTGGTTGTGACGGGAGGTGACGGGTGGTGGCAGGTGATGACCACACCACTTTCCCAGCAGCTGTGCCTCCTCGCTGGCCCCATCAAAGGCTGCCAGGTGGTCAAAGTCACAGGTGCTGGTCAGACTGTTGGGTTCCTCCAAGCCCAGGTCCAGGATGAAGACCTTGACCCGGTAGCCGGGGGGCAGGCGGATGGTCCAGTGGCACCGGATATTGTTGGGGTAGAAGCCAGGGTACTGTGGGCTGGAGAAGTTTCCACGCACAGCCGTGAACACCTCCTGGCATTCTCCTGGGGAGGAGGAAGCAAGATTCACTCTCACACAAAAAGTGCCATATAGCAAGAAGTCCGGGTCTGTGGCCTGAGGTGCCACTGGGAGGCCGTAGAACCTTCAGGAGGTGGGCCTACTGGAAGAAGTTTGGCTCTCAAAGTGGGCGCTGGAGCCCCGGCCCCTTCCTCTTTCTGGCTCTGCTTTTGGCTGCCACACAGAAGCGGCTTTTGTCCCTGCCTCGATGTCCTGCTCACCACAGGCCTCTGGGAGTGTGAGTCAGAGCGAGCTTTCCTCTATGGCTCACACAGCCTTGTCTAGCTCAGGCACAGAAAGCTAACACCCTGTCCACACACCAGCCTTGCTCAGTACTGTCAGCTGCCAGGCCCCTGCACCTGTGCACACACACTGTTCACGCCTCTTGGTGACTTTGTCAAGGCTCTGCTAGCACCCATGAGAGTGGCTCGTCATTGTGCTGCCCATTCCTTCAGGGGACTCTGCATTCTCTGGAGCACACCAGCTCTTCTGTGAGCACATTACGTGAGCACGTAGTACATGCCAGGCCCAAGAAGAGCAGCTCACCGTCAGGCAGGGAGGTGGACAAAAGTGACAGGCGCTGGAGAAGAGTGTGAAGGAATTCTCTATGGCAATTCCTAATGCTGTGATCCTTTAGCACAGTCCCTCATGCTGTGGTGAACCCCAACCATAACATTATTTTCATTGCTACTTCATAACTGCAATTTTGCTCTGTTATGAATTGTAATAGAAATATCTGATGTGTAGGATATCTGATATGCAACTCCTATGAAAGCATCATTCAGCCCCATTGGGGGTCACAACCCACAGATTGAGAACCACGGCCCTAAGGAGTTTAGAAGGGACTGACCCTCCCCACATCTGAACAAGGTAGAAAGTCTCCCAGAGGATGTGATCAGGTTGGGCCTTGGTGTTGGCCCAGAAGGGTGTGCTAGACCCTTCTAGATAGTGTAGAAAAGTCAAGCCCCAAGAACAGAGCAAGCCTTAATTGAATTCCCAAACAAGGCGGTCCACAGGCACAGGCACTGGCATGGCTTGGCCTCTCCTACCTGAGAAGTAGTGGGCCTTGAAGCCCCGGCCTCCAATGTTGAAGTCAGACTTGAAGATCACCTGCAACTCATGGCCCAGGGAGACAAGGGTGGGGGGCCTGGTGCGGCCACAGTAGTGATGCCCACGGGCAGGGCCAGGGGCTCCAAGCACAGCCACGTAGTCGTACATGCATTCATCGCTGCCCTCCACCTGGAAGTCCACGAACACCAGCTTGACAGCAGCAGGCCCCGAGGCACGGATCAGCCAGTGGCACTCCACATTGTTGGGATAGTTGTTGGGGTACTCGGGGCTGCTGAGGACCCCCGACAGGCCAGTCAGGACACCACCGCACACATCTGCAAGGGAGCCCATTTGAGCTGACGTCTTCTCTGGGGAACCAGACACCCAAAATGTTGCTCCACCAACACCCAGGCTTGGCAGGCACATATCTGTACTCAGACTCTTGTAGCACCCACCTTTTACAGTGAGGTCAAGTAACTTAATCTGTCTAGGCCTGAGTTCACCCAGGTAGGCCCAGAGATAAAGGCCTGTGTGCAAGAGGTTTATTTGGAGGTCATGGATCCCCAGGTGGGCATAAGAGCAAGATGAGATGGTGAGTGTGCTAAAGGGAGTTGCTGAACCCCACTAGGGAATTCTAGTAACACATACACCTGAGTTATGTCATTCCAGGAGCGAGGGGGGTAGGGAGCTATACACTGTGTGGTGGTTCAAAGGAGAATGCCCTCAGTAGGCTCATATGTTTGAATACTCTGTCTCCAGGTGGCGGAACTGTTGGGAAGGATTAGGAGGTGTGGCCTTGTTGGAGGGGGTGTCACTTTGAGGTTTCAAAAGCCCATGCCATTCCCACTAACTCGGTGACTTCAGAGGTAAGCTCTCAGCTACTGCTCCAGCGCCATGTGTGCTGCCTGCTGCCATGATCCCCCATGACGGTCATGGACTCACCCTCTGCAACCCTGAGTCCTAAATAAACATCTTCCTTATAAGTCGTCTTGGTCATGGTGTTTGTCACAGCAATAGGAAAGTGTCTAGGAAAACTATGGAGAGTCTCAGTGGGAGACCACAGACACCAACAAAGCCCTCAAAAAGAGACGTGAAGACTGGCAGGACAACGCCAAAATGACAAGCCAAGAGTATGGGCAGGTCCCCCAGCTAGCAAGCATAACCAGAACCCACAGGGTTAGCTGAAGTTGTGTGGCCAGGGCATGGCACTGGGCAGCTAAGGACGTGGTTCTGTCCCAGGACTGCCTTCTCAGCTAAGGACGTGGCTTCCTGTCCCAGGACTGCCTTCTCAGCTAAGGACGTGGCTTCCTGTCACAGGACTGCCTTCTCAGCTAAGGACGTGGCTTCCTGTCCCAGGACTGCCTTCTCAGCTGGATGACCTTAGGCAGTCGCATTCCCTCTCTGGCCATCAGTTTTACTGAGAAATGAGACAGTAGGTAGAGATAGTCTGTGATATCCCATCAATTAATATCAACAACCTGAGCAGACAGATGCTTCAAATCGCATTCTTATGCTGCATTTCCAATGGGCGAGTGTGTGTGTGTGTGTGTGTGTGTGTGTGTGTGTTTGCATATATGTGTGGATGTTCATGCCCATACAGGTGCGTTAAGCTTGGATGTCAGAGGATGACAGATATCCTACTCTGTCACTTTCGGCTCTGTCTCTTGGAGACAGTGTCTCTGAACCAGAAGCTTGCTAATTTTCAGCTAGGTTAGGTGGATGGTCAACGCGCTCCAGCACCAGGGTCACAGGTGCACACAGCCACGCCTGGTATCTCATGTGGATGCTGGGGGTCCTCTTACCCACGGAGCAATCTCCCCAGCCTAGTATCTTTTAGTATAACAAAAGACAGGACCCAAAGTTACACATACATAATTTAGCCCAGTGGAGTCCATCAATAGCCACTGTTTTTCAGTGATTGGCTTTTCACAAATCAATGCTAGAAATGTGAGCTTGGGGCCAGGGCTCAGCTATGAAAGTGTTTGCCGAGCAAGCATAAGGACTGAGTTTTATCCTCAACATTCCCACAAAAGTGGGACATGGTAGCTCACACTTGTCATCTTAGGACAGGGGAGGTGGAGGCAGGTGGATCTCTAGAGCTCACCTGCCAACAGGCATTCTAGTCAATTGGAGAGCACCAGGTCTCAGCAAGGTGGCTCCTGAAGGAACAGTACGTGAGGTCGTTTTCTGACTTACACACACACGTACCCACTCACGCACGCACGTACGCACGCACCCACCCATGCATACGCTGGTAAGAGATGAATGCAGGGAAGGCCCCGAGAGAGGAGGAAACAGGCTCTAAAAGCTCTGGCCCCTGACACCCTGGGCCCAGGCAGGGAAAGGAGGCAGGAGCCGCAGGACTTCAACAGCAGGAACAGCCTGGATCCTCCCTCGGCCTGATGTCGTCAGAGGAGGGCTGCAGGCCTCCTTTCAGGGAACAGCAAGCTGTCTGAGGGACCCCGGCAGTCACGGAGGAAGCAGGGAAGTATCACAAGGGTAGCAGATGGTGGTTTCCAGGGAGATCACGAGTGTGAAAAAGCCTTTGTCCCTGTAGGCGGCGCTAATGCCGGGTCACCCTACACTGAGACACTGCCTGCTCACCTCCCTGTGCCCTGCCCCCTCCTCCTGCAGCTAGGGCCAGCCTTCCTGCCAAGTCCTCCTCACCTTTTTGGTAGCCTGCAGAAAAGCCTCGGCTGGCCACATGCTTGTCTGAGTGGAAGACAACAGACATCACGTGCCAGGAGGAGGTGAAGGGGGGCGGGGGCACCTGGCCACAGAACCTGCCCAGAAGATTGCCCTTGTCTCCAGAGGCCCCGTTGTAGATCTCCAGGAAGTCAAAGCCACAGGTGTCGTGGTACTCCAGGTCGAAGGTGTAGAAGGTGAGCAGCACCGAGGACCCCTCGGCCACCACGATCAGCCAGCTGCACTCTGTGTCGTAGGGATACAGACTTGGGAAGTTTGGGCTGGAGAAGTTCCCAGCTGGTGCCGAGAGCACTCCCCCGCACTTGACTCCTGAGGCAAGAGAAAAGGATGGGTTAGAGTCAGCTCTGGGGTCTCGGACACACAGGCAAGTCTGGGGCCTCCAGGGTGGAAAGAAAGCAGGACAGGGTCCGAAGTCACTCTAGATGTGTGCCTGAGCTCACTCATGCATTCACACTTCTTTCAGATCCTGGGGAAGCACTCTTCCAGTCACTCAATCAAATACTGTTTGATCTTGCTCCCAGGGCATACATGTTCTGGTGGGAAGACAAGAAACACGAAATGTGGCACAGACAAGAGAGTGGTGAGCTCTGGGGAGAACGAGAAAGCAAGTGAAGCCAGGCATGGTGGCGCACGCCTTTAATCCCAGCACTTGGGAGGCAGTGGTCTACAGAGTGTGTTCCAGGACAGCCTCCAAAGCTACAGAGAAACCCTGTCTTGAAAAAAAAAGAAAGAAAGAAAGAAAGGAAAGACGAGGCAATCAGATCTCTTCCAGCTCAAGAACAGCTGGTTGTGTAGCTTGAATGCAACTGGCCCCCACAAACTCTGAGGGCGCGGCACCATTCGGAGATGCGGCTTTGTTGGAGGAAGTATGATTTTGTTGGAGGAGGCTGGATGGCCTTGAGGCTGGAGGCTGTGTCACACTTTCTGTTGGGGCTGTGTCACTTTGGGGGCAGGCTTTAAGGTCTTTTTCTCAAGGCTCACTCGGTGTGACAGTCAGTTGACTTCCTGCTGCCTTCTGGTCAAGATGCAGCACTCTCAGCTCCAGTGCCACGTCTGCCTGCAGGCCGCCATGCTCCCCGCCACAAAACCTCTGAGCTGTAAGTGAGCCACCCAATTACATGTTTTCTTCACAAGCATTGCCGAGGTCATGGTGTCTCTTCACAGCAACAGTAAACCCTAACTGAGACACTGGTCTACACAGTAAATTCCAGGCCAGTCAGGGCTATATAGAGAGACCCTGTCTTGATAATACATATAAACATTAAATAAATAAGCAAATAAATAAATAGAGCTGGGCAGGGGTGGTGCACACCTTTAATCCCAGCACTCAGGAGGCACAGACAGTTAGACCAATGGATCTCTGTGAGTTGGAGGCCAGCCTGATCTACAAAGCAAATTTCAGGGCAGTCAAGACTACACAGAGAAACCTTGTCTTGAAAAAAAATTAAAAAGGTAAATAAATAGAAAATTATAAATAATTTAAAAGGAAACAATGGGAAATCAGAAAACCAGAATTTGGCAACCTTTAATGGAATACCAGGCTGGAAGCTTCTGTAATGTCTGAGCAGTCACCAAGGAAACGGTTAATAAGAGTGGAAACCCAGGTGGTCTTCCACACAGGCCATTCTCGGCAAAGTTCAGTGTTGCCAAGCTCTTGAAAAAAGGAGGAGGAGGACAAGGAGGAGGCGTCGAAGAGGAGGAGGAGGGGGAGGAGGAGGGGAGGAGGAGGGGGAGGAGGAGGAGGGGAAGGAGGAGGACAGGGAGGAGGGGGATGAGGAGGAGGGGGATGAGGAGGACAAGGAGGAGGAGGAGGGGGATGAAGAGGAGGGGGATGAGGAGGACGAGGACCAGGAGGAGGACGAAGAGGAGGAGGAGGAGGAAGATGAGGAGGACGAGGAGGAGGAGGAGGTAAGGGTAGCCTCAGCCCAGCCTCAAACGTGTAATCCTGTTGCCTCGGGCTCTCAAATGCTGAGATTACAGATGAGTGCCAGCACGTCTGATTCAAGTGTTTGAAAAGCATAAGAAGACACAACCTGGTATACTAGCACACACCTGTAAGAGAAGTGCTCTGGGGGCTGAGGGTTGTAAGTTTCAGGCAAGCCTGGGCTACACAGCAAGACCGTGATTCAGTAATAATGACAACCCCACCACTACAGCAGCAGCAAGAGGGTTGACAGAGGCTGGGGGGAAGCGGGAGTAATCAGGATATACTGTAAAAGTGTGTGAAAACGCCAAAGAACAGATTTAATAAATAAAAAGTAAGCCAGGAGGGAACTTTCATAGTAGAGTGCTACACATTTTGAAATGCATACATACCGCCACTTAGAGTCTTTTTTGTTGTGTTTTTGTTTTGTTTTTTTGTTTGTTTTTTACAAGACAGGTTTTCTCTGTATTGTTTCTGAGGCTATTGGTCTAGCCCGGCCTCGAACTCACAGAGATCCGCCTGCCTCTGCCTCCCGAGGCGTGCGGCACCACCGCCCGGCTGTTTTTTTTTTTTTTAAAGGTAAGGTCTTAGCTATATAGCCCAGGCTAGTCTTGAATTGCAAATCTTGCCTCAGCCTTCCAGGTGCTAAGATGAAAAGTGTGTGTGTGTGTGTGTGTGTGTGTGTGTGTGTGTGTGTGTGTGTGTACTCCTGGACTCAAGTGATCCTTCTGCCTCAGTGTCCTCTCCAGTGTCCAGACTATAGACATGTAGCATGTACCCCACGTTATACCTGTTTGTTTGTTTGTTTCCTGCCAGGGTCTTTCTATGTGGCTCTGGCTGGCCTGGAACTCACTAGTAGTTCAGTCTGGCCCCAAACTTCCTTGGATCCTCTTGCATTGGCTCCTGAGTGTTAGGATTGCAAGCATGTACCCCTGCGTGCAGCTCAAAGAACATGTGGAGGGGAGGGGAGTTCTGTGCACTTGTATGCATGTGGAGACCAGAGCTTAACTTCAGATGTTGTCCATCAGATGCTATCCATCTTGTGTTTTGAGACAAGTTCTCTTGTTGGCCTGGAGCTCACTAAGTAGGCTAGGCTGCCTGGTCCGTGGCCCGGGGATCTGCTGGCTCCCACTTTCCCAGTCCTGGGATTACTAACATAACTTCTGGATCTTGAACTCATTCAGGTCCTCCTGCTGGCTGGCAAGCACTTTACCTACTGAGCTATTGTCCCAGCTTATAAAAGAACACTCTTTAATGAAATTTTTAAAAAAATAAGTTTTGAGGCTGGAGAGGTGGCTCAGTGGTTAAGAACATTTGCTTCTCTTACAGAGGTCCTTGGTTTGATTCCTAGCCCCTACATGGCCACTCACAACAGTCTGTAACTCCAGTTCCAGAAGATCTGATGTCCTCTTCTGGCCTCCACAGGCCTGCAAGGGGTGCACAGACAAATATGCAGGCAAAATGCTCATACACATAAAATGAAAATAAGCCAATCTTCAAAATATAGATTTTTGTTTATTACTATGTGTTTGTACATGTGTGAGCATCATAAGGATTGGGGGAGATGCCATAGCATTCATGTAGAAATTTAGGACAACTTTATATGGGTCCTAGGGATCAAACTCAGGTCATCAGACTTCAGAGACAAATGTTTTTACTTGCTGAGCTCCACAAAGGAATATTCTTCTTGTTTTTTAAGATTTATTTTTGTTTTACATTATGTGTATTCACGTGTCTGTATGGAAGCATGTGCATGAGCATAGGTGCCCACAGAGACCAGAGGTGACAGATCTCCCTGGAACTACAGTAATACATTGTGAACCACCCAGTGACAAGGGTGCTGGGAACAGAACTTGACTCCCTTGGGAGAGCAACCAGTGCTCTTAAGTGCTGAGCCTTCTTGCCAGTCCCAGGAACATTTTAATAAAACCACAAGGCTCCATTTGGCCAAGCCAAGATGAAGAACTTATATGAGATAAACGTCAACAATGAGTGTCAAGGGGGCACAATTGTTGTATTAGGAATCAAGTCTCAGCCAAACATAAGGCATGGATCTTTCTCTGATTCTGTTTGTGTTACTGACTTCACTTTGCAGTCGAGAAGACTGAGCCCCAGAAGGGGAAGTTACCGTAACTGACACCTATTTCTTAGCACCCTCTCTTCCAACTTGTGGAACCTGGGCCGCCTGGTTCAGACACTGCTCTGGCTCCTTGTGGTAATCCTGACCTGTGGGGAGGGTAAGTGTTCCAGGCAGATCCAGCTCTTCTCAGAATGTCTGGGGGTGGTGTCTTCCTCCTTGGATAGGGAATGGGAGTCCTGGGGGTCCATGTTCGGTGTTATGGAAACATGTCCACAGATAGCAAGAGCCATACGAAAAAAATGGCCCTGAGCCAAAAGGCCCTGGCTGCTGGCAGGCTCCATCCCTGCCACCCTGTTATAGAGCCCAAGATGCCTTCTTGCCTATGTGCATACAGCTTGGGTCCTGTCCCTTGCAGTCACAGGAATCCTCAAGTATACACTTGAATGAAGTCCCTGAGAGAAGGACATACCACACTGTGGGTCTTTGCTGATTGGAACTGAGCCCCCCCCCCCAGGGAAGCTCACAGAGGGGATGGGGCTGAGGAGAGTCGGGCAAACCAGGTGAAGCCACTCTGTGTGGCATGCTGTATCCTGCATCGCACGGGGTTATGGGATAGCAGTATTAAGGGACGGATGAGATCCACAGAGGAGGTGATACGTTCAGATGAAGATAAGGGACTCCATCACTCAGCCTCTGTGGACCTCAGCCATGCACCTGCAAAGTGGGGAGCTACCCTCATCTTTACTGAGTGCTACAAGTTCTTGGGAGACAGAGGCATTGCAAAGGCCATGCAAGGTACAGGTCATATGATTTGCTCCCTGCCTGGGCAGGCTGGTGCTGGAGGTGGTATCTGGTTCATAGCCTTATGGCAATAAGATGGAGGGACCTTTCTTCCTGTGTCAACTCTTGTCCTTCTCCCAGTGTTGAGAAAACCACAAGACTGTCAGAGTGGAACTCCTGTGGCCTAGGTGGCCCCCAGTACCAGCTTCAATGGAAATCTTGCCCATCAGGATCCAGCCAGGCACACCAACCCTCAGGGTTACGCCGAGACTGTCCAAGCCCTAGAGGTCAGTAAATAGCAACACACTTGTACCACACAGGCATGGGCTGAGACCCTGAGGTGCCCAGCCCATTTCTGCCAGCAATGAAGTGACTGACAAGCCACCCCTTCCCTCTTGGTCCCTAGGTGAGCTTGAGGAGCCCTAGTGGGTGCACCCATTGCAGAATGGTGACATTGTTACCAAGCTTCACACACACACACACACACAACAACTGGGGAGACAGAGTGACCCAAATCTATTAGACCGCAGCCTGGGCTGGAGGAGTTCTGGGAGCCTGGGGAGGGGGCATCTGAGACCAACAGAGGATGAGGAGGGCTTCATGGAGGAAGTGACTGACTTAAACTTTAACGGTGAGCACCAGAGAAAAGGAGAAGGGCTACATGGTTCGGTGATAAGGGCACTTGCCACCAACCCTGACCACCTGAACGTGATCCCAATACAAAGGAGGGAACCGATTCCCACAGCCTGTCCTCTGGCCTCCACGTGTGACACGGCGCACCCACGAAAACTCACCCTCTACACACACAACACATGCCATTGAAAAAAATATATTTTGACGGAAAACAGGACTCTTCTACTAGATTCCAGGAAGAACTTCTTCCCAGGCAGGGGGACAGCAGGGGCTTAAGATCCCCAGGGCAAGGCATTCTCAGAAAGAGTGTGGTTCCCAGGCAGAACACAGACACATTGGAGCCAGCACACCAGGGACACTGAATGGCACAGTGAGGGATTTGGCACCACGGGCTGCTGTGGGAAGTGCCGAAGGCCATCAGAACAAAGGGACCCTCCCACCATGAGCCTTCACACTTCTGAGCCATTGCCTTCATGCACAGCTCTGTACCTAAGCCCCCAGCCCTTCATCAGGAAGAAAGGGCCAGCCCTCACCTCGGACCTTGTTCTAAAGAAGAAATGCTCTTATGTATGTGAAGCAAACAGCAGGCGCTCACTCAATGCTGTCCTCTGCTTCTCAGGAGCAAGCACACACTCGACTCCCCGGCTTGGGCTTCTTGAGCCCCTGGTTCCTCTGCACCCCCCTCATCCTCCCTGTTGTGGTTGCTGCATCACCTACCTTCCATGGCTTGGGTCCCGGGACCTGAGCACAGCAGTCCCATTGCCAGCGATAGATAGGCCCCCAGCTCAGCTAGCATCTCCTCACTGGGGGTCCCTCACCAAGGCTGAATTCAGGGGTCAGGATCCAAGGGTCTGTGAGGGGAGAGAGAGGTGAGGGTGGAGGGCCTCTAAGGAAACGGCCGTGTGAATAATTCATCGGGCCCTTGAATTAGTAAGCCGATCCCAGGTACTCCCTTCACTCCTCACTGAGGTGACGGATCTGGTGTCACCAGGTTGACACGTACTGAGAACCCCAATGGCCACCCTGTATCAGGAAGGACCAGGAAGGAAACAGGGTAGTTGGTGGAGAAATAGCCTAAATTGCAGGGCCAGGCAGATCTGGGATCAACCCCAGCTCAGCCTCCAGCTGGTCAGGTGATGTCAAACAAGACTTCTCACTCGTGTGGGGCTTAGCCTTCTGATCCAACCTGTACAGCCATTCAGTCCCACCCCTGGAGCTACTGGGAAAAAAGAAATGAGATCACATACACTAATTACACAGCGGGCACTCAGGATAGGCCGAAGCACATGCCCCTGCCCTTCTCCATCCTTCACTCCAGAGGGAGCAAAAGGAGCCTAACGTGTGAGACAGATGGGACATGCTTCCTTCCCAAGTGCAAATGTACACAGAGGGAGGGAGAAGGAGCCTGTGGACAGCTGAGGAGAGGAGTCCTTTTCAAGGAAGAAAGCATCTGGTAGCAGAATCGGCACTTCGGATTTCTGCTGTGAGTCTTCTAGTGCATAAGATGGGTCCATAGTCTGGAGAAAAGCAGACCAGTGCAGGCGCCTTCACTGACCCGCCAACCTCATTCACACATCGCTGCATCCGGGCCCCATGCTAGGAGCTGGGGCTGCGGAAGAGTCTGCCCTGTGTCCTGCAGAAAATGGGATGGGTTTTTTTCCCTCTAGGAATTTTCCCCTTTGATTCAGACCACCACATGTTTTTTTTCTAAGTTTCTGTGTTTCTTTCTTGTGTACTTGCTCATGTTGTGTATATATGCACTCACGCACACACATGAACACACATGCACACACACACATGCACACACAGAGGCTCACACATGTGGAAGCCAGAGATCAAACTTGTGTGCTGTTCCCCAGGGGCTGTCCACTTTGATTATTGAGACTGGGTCTCTTATTGAATCTAGAATTCATCAGTGAGCCCCAGGGTTCCAGCTGCCTCTGCCTCCCCTGTGATGAAATAAAAAGTACTCGATACCATAACTGGTTTTTTTATGTGGGTGTTAGGAATCGAACCTTGACAAACTCATGTCAGACTGCCAACTTCCTCCCCATGGTGAGTGAGTCCTTAGTCCCTGCAACCAGTCATTTTTCTCACTTCTCTGTGCACAATGGGCCCTGGAGTTTGGCTTGTACTTCTCTCCACCCACTGTCCATGGTGGACTCTTCTACAACCTACAAGCTTCCAGCAGAAAGAACTCCTGCATGCTACCCTCTGTCCTCAGGGCATGGGGCTCGGCTCTGAGCACAGTCTTTTACCTGTTTTTGTTAGATTGGTGTCAACCAACTTGACACAGCTAGAGTCATCTGAGATAACCCCAACCGGGAAAATGCTTCCATCAGACCGGCCTGTAGGCAAGCCTGTTGGGCATTTCCTTGACTGGTGGTTGCTGTGGAAGGGGCCAACCTACTATGGGCAGTGCCATCCCTGAGCGGTGGTCCTGGGGTATATAAGAAAGAAAACTGGGGGCTGGAGAGATGTTTCAGTGGTTAAGAGCACCTGTGGATCTTTCAGGAGATCTGGGTTCAGTTTCCAGCACCCACATTGTTGTAAATTTAAAAAACACCATAAAGAGAAGTCACGCCATATAACAGAGTTCATATAGGAGGTTTATTGGAAGAGAGAGAAGGGGCAGAAAGTGGGGGGGGCAGAGATTGGTCCCTGGGAACAAAAGTGGTGGAAGGGAGACAGGGGAAGGGAGGGAGAGAGGGAAAAAAGACAGGAGATGGGCAAGGTCCACAGGGAACATAGCAAATGTGCACAGAGGGTGCTCTTAGTGGCTGCAGCTGAGGGCATATCCTGTCAGGACCCCAACAGTAGGTCAGTACAGATGCCTGAATACTAACACACATGGTGGCTTAAGACTGTCTGCAACTCTAGTTCCAGGGGATCTGGTGACCTCTCTGACCTCCTCTAGCACTAGGCATTCACATGCTACACATACATGCATGTAGGCAAAACACTCAGCCACATAAACTAAAAATAAATAAATGAATAACCCCCCAACAGCAAAGCAAGCAAGCCAACTGAACAAGCCAGCAGTCAGTGCTCCTCCATGGCCTGTGCCATGGCTCCTGCCTCCAGGTCTGCACATCGGGCTCTTGCCCTGCCTTCCCTTCGTGGTGGACTGTAGGCTGTGAGCTGAACTAAACCCATCCCTCCCCATTTGCTTTTGGGTCATGATGTTTATCACAGCAATAGAAACCTAACGAAGACATGCGCCTTTGCCCTGTGCCTCATCTCGCTCAGCCTAGATGCTCAGCAGTCTTGTATGAGCAGAACCATCCAAAGGCCCACAGGTAGCAAGCGTCCTTTCCCCTTTGGACCCATGTTTGCCTGGGCCAAAGGCCATGTTGTTAACCCTGCTCTCCTACTCAGCTGCAATAAAATACCACAGACTGGTTGGCTCATAAACAGCACACACTTGTTCCTCCATTTGCTGGAGGCTAGGAGTCCAAAATCAAGGAGTCCTGTAAAGTCCTATGTCCTGACTGAGTCCCTCCATGGTGAGAGTGGTGAGGGCTCTCTTAGTCACTTCCCAAAGGTGAGCATCTCTGTGGGAACAACAGACCTTGGCTGGAGACCCACTTCCCCATCAGCCTGGGAGCAGGCAGCTGTAAGACAATGGTTACTAAAAACATGTTTACTGAAAACATGTTTACTGAAAACAATCCGGTGTCCATAAGAAATGTTTACCAGAGCTGGGCGGTGGTGGCGCACACCTTTAATCCCAGCACTCGGGAGGCAGAGGCAGGCGGATCTCTGTGAGTTCGAGGTCAAGGCCGGGCCGGACTGATAGCCTCCAAAACAATACAGAGAAACCCTGTCTCGTAAAAACCAAAAAAACAAAACAAAACAAAAAAAACCAGGAACGCCCTGACCTCAACCTTTCCAAAGACTAACAGCCTCTTCCTGACCCACCCACCGCAGTCTCTGGTGTCAGAGCAGAACCAGCCAGGGGTAAGGAAGGGAGCCGAAGCTTTTCTTGAGAGAAGCCTTTCTTGGGAAGTTTTCTTGAGCCTTCTTGGGGCCTGCTTAAAGTTTTCCTTGCACCGCCAACTGGTCTCTGTGTCATCAATCCCGACACCCTCCGCACATTCTCGGATACAGGCTGCGCAGCGGGTGCAGCACATCTCCACTGCAATTGTGGAGGGGACACAAAATGCTGGGGACACAAACACATAAACGTTCTTTCCCACAACCCCTGGCCCCCTGGAGTGGGCAGGATGGTGTATGGTGCAGTGGTTAAGCCTGGAACTTCTAGAACAGGGACCATGTGGGCGTTATTAACTATGTGACCTTGGCCCTTCCAAGCCTGTGAACTGAGGACTGCATAGTGAAGACAGCCTCCTCCAGTGTCCTTGGAGCACAGCCTCCCTTCTGCAGCCCATGTGAGAGAAGTCCGAGTGGCATGCAGACCTCTGGTCTTCCCGTGTTTCATTACAACCCCTCTCCTTAAAGTCACCTCTGGGTGGGACCTCCTGCTGCCTGGCTGGTCCTTTCCTCCAATCAGAATGCAGCCAGGGCTCCTCTACTGATCCCCAATGGAGGTGATGGAGAAGGAACAAAGGGTGCCACGCACCTGCCTGGTCATTAAAGTGTGCACAAGCTGCCCATGGACTGTCAAACCTGGGCATCTGGGTGTTCGTCACTGTCCCTCTGTGCCATGTAGAACCTGCTCTCAACTTCTGGGGTTATCCTGGTGTAAGGTGGCCCTCCTGCCTGACTGGCTCTGCAGCACCAGGGGCTATGAGACCAAGTGACCATGTCAGCTGAACACCACACAATGTGAGAGTATGCCCTCAGCGGAGGGAACGGATGTTTCTATCACTGAGCACATGTCACGTTCCTTTCTCGGTTTAAAGCCCACCTTGATGTCTGTCAGTGCCCCAACACTAGGAACACCACTCTGTGTGTGGCAAGATTTACTGAATGCGACTATGCCCTGTGTGACTATACATACCCAGGCATTTGTAACTGCTTCTTTCCACACATGTTCAATCCTTTGCACACCTGTGGAACACACTGTGCTGTGGCTGTGTGTACATCTGTGCCCTGGATGTTGAAGGATTTGCGTCTTGATCTGCAGGTACCCAGATGCCCATGTGTGTACTTCACATTCTGGCTATACATATACATTGCGTGTCCACCTTGTCTCTGTGTGTGGTTACCCCAGTGTCCACCTTGTCTCTGTGCGTGGTTACCCCAGTGTCCACCTTGTCTCTGCGCGTGGTTACCCCAGGGACCATGTGCTTTTCCACACACACTCATCTTTTTCCATGACACCCAGCATCTGCTGGTGTGAAGGTCTGCATCTCTCCAGATGTGCACACCTGTAGCTGGTACACATCTCCATGAGAATAGGTTTCACCCTGCTCATTGCCAAGGCTGCTTGCATCTCTGTGCTTGTACTGGGTGCACATCTGGATTGGGGTTACTCTCTAAGCCATTTTTATCTTCATGTCTGTATCTGTCACTGGATCACTGAGCATAGGGATGGTACCCAGGGGAAAGCAAGGGAGCTATCTGACACCTGCCTCCCTATTCCACAGAGGTCTAGACTAACAGAGAGGCTATGGCAGAGAGTAAAAAGTGCTGCGAACTTTTATCATTTATTATGGAAGTAGCAATTAATATTCTGGGTATCTTGCCCACCCTGGGGACTCCTACTGGGATCCCAGGAGCCATATCACTCCCTTAACAGGGACCTCAGGGATCTCGGGGCATTTCCCATGTGCACAGTAGCCAGGAAGTGGGGGCAGGAAGGGACAGCACCCCCATCCCAAACTTCTATTGGAGCATGATGGGAAGTCTTGGTGTCTGCACGGTGTGTGTTGTGTCTCTAGATGATAGAGGATGGAAATACAGGAGAGAGAGGTAAAGGGTCCAAGACAGGGCTGGAGAGATGGCTCAGAGGTTAGGAGCACTGACTGCTCTTTCAGAGGTTCTGAGTTCAATTCCCAGCAACCACATGGTAGCTCACAACCATCTACAATTCAATCTGGTGCCCTCTTCTGGCATGTAGGCAGAACGTTGTATATGTAAT